CTCTCTCTCTCTCTCTCTCTCTCTCTCTCTCTCTCTCTCTCTCTCTCTCTCTCTCTCTCTCTCTCTCTCTCTCTCTCTACCCTGGATATGCCCACTCAGGTTGCTCACACCTTGGCGGCTATGGCCGCCGTCCTCCTGCTCTCGTCTAGCCTAGCTATGGAGTAGCTCTCAAGCGCAAGTTGCCTTAATGCACAAGCAGCAGCAGTGCTTCCGCATCTCGCAACTGAACAAGTGCTGAACTGCTGCACTGTAGCAGCTATAAGTAGGACTTGGCCTGCTTCGGACCGGTAGCAGCTGGCAGTAGCCTGTCTGCTGCAAACATTGGTCGGTCCGGTATCTTCCGTACTTCCCTTGGACATGCTGCAATTGGACTTGGGACTGTCGACCTGGACTGGACGCTTCTGGACTTTTCTTGTCGGGTTCCGGGGAACTTCTACCTAAGACCTTTCCGGTACCGACGCCTACTGACCTACGACGTTCGGGCCGCTAGGCCCTGGACTTGGGACGCTTCGGGCCCCTAGGAGCGGGACAGGGTGTCTACAGCGTGAATCCTTTCATAAGCTGCAGCAACGGTTAAAATATGATGTAATATGAGTTCTGAAACGGTTGCACAATAGAGGGTCATAGGCTCGAATCCTGTCACCTTGATAGCAAACGATACCATGCAGAAGGCAGAGGTTGTAAGAGGCGTGCAAACTGGAAGAAAGTCCCCTGGAAATAACAAGAGTAAAGAATGGCCTGAACCATGAACTTGCGACTATCAACTTGTGACTACTGATCTCCTCTGCAAGTGCAGGGGTTGTCACAGGGGTTCTAGAATAATGACATGACGCCAAGGTGGAAAGAAAGATCAGGTAGGGACTCAGCTCCTTGGTTGACAGTTCAGGGCCCTAACCATTGGGCCCTCTGCCGAGTCTGATTCTACACCAACCCTGGCAGGTTCAGGGCCCTAACCCTTGCAAAGAGAACCTTCAGGCCTAAAATGACCACTACAGCAGCCCCTATTTTGCCGAGTCCGATTCTACACCAACTCTGGCAGGTTGGACCTACCACGTCTTATCAAGGAGTCCGGTTTGAGTGAAAAAGAAACTCATGATGACATTCATGAGTGAGTTTTTTTTTTTTTTTTTTTTTTTTTAACCACCACTACCTCCGAGCCTGTTTTTGCCGACTCTGATTTTCACTGCGCACCGAGTTTAACCGAGCCTGGGGTCAGTTGTGTTTCTTTTCTGGTGCTCTTCTGAAAAAGAAAAGAAAAAAAGCACGGCCAGACTTCAAAAAAACGACATACTCACAAGCACAAAAAAGAAAAAGGAAAAAAACGAACACCCCTCTGGACGTGAAACAAGGTAGATACCTGCCCCAAAGTTGTTGTGCCAGTATGCCCTCCTTCACAAAGTGCCAGGGTTGTAGTGCGGGCATGCCCTCCACAGGAAAGAGGGTTCATACATTCTGCAAAGAGGGTTCATACATTCTGCAAAGTTGTAGTGTGGGCATGCCCTCCTTCACAAAGTGCCAGCAGCCCATGGGCTGGGTCGTGCCTCCCTGGCAGGGCATGAAAACAAAACAAAAACAGCAGCAACGACAACCTGAAACTGGCCACAATCGTAGTTAAATACTTTCTTGCGAGTATTGTGTGAGCACAACTTCGTGCACGGCCTTCCTGGACTTGGTCTTTTGTTTTTCATTTTGCTTTTCGAAGGGGCCCACAAGGCCCAACTGCCGAGCCTCCGCCGACCCTCGAAAAGTTCGGGAAAAGTGGGAAAACAGTCACTTTTCCCATTTTTCCCAACACTGGTGGAGGTAGTGGTGGTTTAAGCGGGGGTGATACGCAGCCGCGGCTAGCAGCCCTCCCTGGCTGCTCCAGTCTATTGGTGGGGAGCTACACCTGCTGGAAACTGGGTCCAGTGTCCCGCAAGACCAATGTAGAATCAAGTACACGCCAATTCCAAGGGTCCTCGCCCTATCCAGTCTCCCCTCGTCCGCTGCTTAGACTGTCACCTGCAGGAAACCGGGTCCAGGGTCCAGACCTCCCTGGCTGGTCCAGTCTTTTGGTCGGGAGCTTCACCTGCTGGAACTGGGTCCAGTGTCCCGCAAGACCAATGTAGAATCAACTACACGCCAACTTGAAGGGCCCTCGCCCTATCCCGTCTCCCCTCTTCTGCTACCCAGACTGTCACCTGCTGGAAACCGGGTCCAGGGTCCAGCAAGACCAATGTAGAAGACGGGGAGACAGGATAGGGTGAGGACCCCTGATGAGGTCGGGCTCTTTTTTTTTTTTTTTTCCCCTAAACTATATTCTTCTCTCGATACCCACTACCTACCTACCTACCTACACACAGCTTAGCAATCCACTCCAGGGTTTTTGGTGCCCAAGGCAGGAAATCTCTCCCAAGTTAAGAAGCCACATCTGCTCTGTGCGGGGAGCAGCACCCAAGCTTCTAACACCAGGCGCGAGCTGGAAGGCACAAATGGTCGCCTCCCAGCCAACCAGGAGGCCCAAGCCAATGATCTCCGCCGGAGAACCCGAAGCGCATCACAGGAGGCCGTGGGGATAGAATGGATGACGTGGGGACTCGAACCCACGACCTCCTGCAAACCACTTCCGTGCTCAAACCAACTGAACTAGCCTGCTTGGGCTGATGAGGTCGTTTTTTTTTTTTTTTTTTTGAAAGGGCGACGGTCTTGAGATATCATCTTTGAGCTGACCGGCCCCAGGCAATTCAGAGTATTTGGTTTTTACTCATCAAGTTCCATCATCTGGGTTCGAACACGGGTCTGTATTTCAACAGTTCAATGGTGTACCCACTGAGCTACGCTCTTGGGTTCTGATTTTTCTATTTTTTTCCCCGAACACAGTGGAGCCTGTGCTGGTTCCCTGTTTTTTTGTTTTGTTTTGTTTTGTTTTGGAAATTTTCATCCAAGGAGAGAAGAATTAAGAACTGCCGAAGCTGGGACACTCAAAATTTTGTGCACCACACCAATACCTCCCTTGCACCATTCTATTGGCGGGGAGCTACACCTGCTGGAAACTGGGTCCAGTGTCCCACAACACCAATGTAGAATCAAGTACATGCCAATTCCAATAGTCTTCGCCATAGTTGCTGCGCATTGAGGTGTGCGCCTCGGCGCACGTCTGGCACACCTCGCCCGATGTGGCATGGAAAAAAAAATAAAAGGGGTCCCCGTCCACCCAAAAAAAAAAGTGCAAGGGGTCATGGAACACCCTGCCTCGTGGATATAATATGCTAAGGGCTAAACCTCTTCCTGAAAAAAGAAGGAAAGCGAGTTGAAGGCCTCTCTCTCTCTCTCTCTCTCTCTCTCTCTCTCTCTCTCTCTCTCTCTCTCTCTCTCTCACACACACACACACACACACACACACACACACACACA